GTTATTAATCAGAATAATTAATAATTATTCTGATTTTTTTCCCCATTTATTTATTTTATTGCATTTTAGGTTTTGGGGTACATGTGAAGAACATGCAAAATTGTTGCATAGGAACACATGTGGCAGTGTGATTTGCTGCCTTCCTCCCCATCACCTACATCTGGCATTTCTCCCCTTGCTATCTCTCCCCAGCTTCCCACCCCCACCGTCCCTCCCCTATTTCTGATTAATAATTAGAAATAATTATTTTGATTGGAGGTTTTGAAATTTTATTAGTTGTCTTAAAGAATCAATTTTGGGTTTTACTGGGTTTTCTCTTTTTTTTCTCTCTTTTTATTTCACTTTAACTCCAATTTCATTCCTTCCTTCCTTCTGCTTACTTCGAGTTGAATTTGGTCATCTCTTTCATTCTAGAGTTAGAAGCTGAGGTCATTGATTTGAGGCCTGTAGTCCTGGCTAACATAGGTAGTTTAGTGCTATAAATTTACTCTCAATTACTGATTTAGTCACATTCCACAAATTTTGACATGTGATTTAATTTTCATTTCATTCAAAATATTTTCTAATTTTCCTTTGGGTTTCTACCTTGACTTCTATGTTATTTCAAAGTTTGTAATTTTGGTCAGGTGTGGTGGTTCACGCCTGTAATCCCTGCACTTTAGGAGGCTGAGGCGGGTGGATCACTTGAGGTCAGGAGTTTGAGACCAGCCTGGCCAACTGGTGAAACCCGTCTTTACTTTAAAAAATACAAAACTTAGCCATGCTAACTTGATGCACCCGTAACCTTACCTAGTCAGGAGGCTGAGGCAGAAGAATCGCTTGAACCCAGGAGGCAGAGGTTGCAGTGAGTCAAGATTGTGCCACTGCACCCCAGCCTGGGCAACAGAGTGAGACTCTGTGTCAACAACAACAATAACAAAAAAAAAGAAATGGGAGTTCTTTTTAAAAGAACTGTGCTTCAAAATGTGCTACATTTTGCAGTCTGGAGTCATGGAAGATTGGTCTTGTATTCTTAGCCTCACCTTTTTGGAAACTATTTAGAATTGTTATTTTATTTATTTTTTTAGTTCAGGGTTACATGTGCAGGATGTGCAGGTTTGCTACATAAGTAAATGTGTGCCATGATGGTTTGCTGCAGATTATCCCATCACCTAGGTACTAAGCCCAGGATGCATTGGCTTTCCTAATGCTCTCCCTCTCCCCACTCCACCTGCCCATAGACCCCAGTGTGTGTTGTTCCCCTCCCTGTGTCCATGTGTTCTCATTGGAAACCTAAAAACTCTTTTAAGGCAGTAAGCTGACATATTTGTTGGGGTTACATCATCTGTTGCCCATATCCAAGGGTTATTATCCCTTGTAGCCTGATATCCAGGGTCTCAATAACTGTTGTTTCATATATTTATAGTTTTTGGTTATTTCAAGCATGAGGGCAAATTGGTTTCTATTCCTCCACAGTGACCAGAAGTGGGATTTCCTTTTTCATGTTTTTAAACATTGTAAGCATAGTTGTTTTCTGATCTGTGTCTAATAATTCCATTAACTGAAATTTTGTGCCTATTTTGCCTGTTATTCTACCTGTTCTTGCCCCTCGTGTCTTGTTTGTTTATGGGCCTGCTTATTTTGGTCATCATACTTTAACAGTTATCTGTAGCAACGACTTTAGGATGGGATGAAGTCACTTTCCTCCAGAG